TGGATATATGATAACTTTGGAGAATCATAATATTGAAAATATATGTGATATCAATAATCAAAAAATGTGTATTTACATCTAAACTATGTTGTACAACTGTCGTTTAGGTTTTTTCGATAAATGGTACAATGATAATCCATGATAAACTCCGGTTGCACGAATGCATCTATATGCGTACAAACTTCTTATCTGTCTACACACGCTATCCACTTGTTGGTTGATTACAAAATAATTACAAAACATGCTTATAATTACAAAACGTTTTATATTACCTATATTTTTTACTTTCTAGACACATTATTATGTTCTGTGCTAGACACTAGTTTTATAAATAATATTGTACGTGTTTTGGTTTTTATATTTTTATATTACAATGTCGAATCATAAAGGTCTTACTGAACAAGAAATGCTTTATGCGCTGTTTGAAATACCAGTGGATTCTGATGATGAATTTGATAAAAATGACTTTGATGAATTAAATGAGTTTGTAACTGTAGAAGATATGGATGGTTATTTAAATTCTAATGAAGTAGAACTACCTGTCATAGATGAAAATTTGGTATTTGTTGAATCTTTAAATCATAATAATCCTATTGTTACATCTGTACCTCATGATGTAACTAATGATGTATTGCTGCCCTCTACTTATAGTAATAATTTTTCTGAAAATACCACTCAACCCACTGTTTCTATATCTGAAAATACTAATTGCCATCAAAAACCATTTACTCCAGTTACATCAGTTAATTGGACAAATATACCCTTTGAACATAACACAAGCTCACAGTTTCTAGGTAGTGAAGAACTTACAACTGATATTTTAAATTTGGATTCTCCCTACCAAATATTTAGTTATTTTTTTGATAATGATCTTATTGACCATATTTGTGAAGAAACTCTAAAATATAGTATTCAAAAAAATATTCAAAAACCATTTAAAATTAATAGAACTGACTTTAAAAGATTTTTAGGAATCTCCATTATGATGTCTGTTCATAAAAATCCGTCTATTCGTAGCTATTGGTCATCAAATATAGGTAATACTGTTATAAAAAATACCATGCCAGTAAATGTGTTTGAAAAAATCAAACAATTTTTACATTTTAATGACAATTCTCAACTAATTCCATTCAATAGACCTGGACATGATAGACTTTATCGTATAAGGCCACTTCTAGAAACATTAAATAAAAAATTTCAATCAGTTCCTCTAGAAGAATGTCTGTCAATAGATGAGCAATTATGTTCTACTAAAACTAAACATTATTTAAAACAATATATCCCCATGAAACCACATAAATGGGGTTATAAGTTGTTTGTTATGGCAGGTGTTTCTGGTTTTGCATATAATGTGGAAATTTATAGTGGGCAAGAGAATAATTCAGATCTACCTTTACCTTGTGAACCAGATATTGGTGCAAGTGCAAATGTTGTTGTACGTCTTGCTCATATAATACCATCAAATAACAATTTTAAATTGTATTATGATAATTATTATACTTCAATACAGTTAATAATTTATTTAAAAAGTAGAGGTATTGAAAGTCTAGGAACTGTTAGGAGAAATAGACTTAAAAATGTACCATTTCCTTCAGATACTGTTATGAAATCTAAGGATAGGGGTACCATGTATGAGTGTACAGCTACTGTAAACGAAGAAAAAATTACAGCAGTCTTATGGAAAGATAATAAGTAGGTAATCTTACTTTCAACATTTGTAAGTATGAACCCAGTTGAACATGTGAAAAGGTTTTCTAAAAAAGAAAAAAAAAACAATAATGGTTCCTTTTCCTATTGTTGTTAGTATTTACAACAAGCATATGGGTGGAGTTGACTTGCTAGATGCCAATATTGGAAGGTATAAAATTTCAATAAAATCCAGAAAGTGGTATATGAGGTTGTTCTATCATTTAATTGATATAACCGTTACAAATTCTTAGATATTACAAAAACGTATTTATGAAAGTAAAGGACAAAAATATCAATCTAGTTTGGCAGATTTCCGTGAAGAATTGGCTGTTTCATTATGTCAAATGGGAGAATTAGTGTCACCTAAAAGAGGTAGACCACTTAAAGAAGACAAATTAGGCAATATAACAGATAAAAAAAGGCAACGTAATGTTAACACTACACCAATAGATGTAAGGTTTGATGGTTTTCAGCATATGCCTGAGTGGTCTCAAAGCAGACAAAAATGCAAATACTTAGGTTGTAAAGGTATTACATACATAAGCTGTGCTAAATGCAGTAAGGCTTTGTGTTTTACTAGAAGTAGTAACTATTTCAACAAATATCATATGAAATAGTTCTAACTCTGATATCTATAGTTATTTCAATTTTCATATTTAGAATACCAAAGATTGGTTGTTACCTATGGTATTATTATTTTTTTTATCATATTTATAAAGACTGGTTGTCATTATTATTATTTTATTTAAATATTAAATTATTTGTTTAACAATTGGTATTAATTATATTTTCATTTAAAAAGATAAGTTGTTATTATATTATTTTATTTAAATGTTACTTATTTGATTATTTTTTAATGATATTTACACTAATAAAAACTGGTTGTCATTGTTATTATTTTATTGAATGTTAGAAGACTTAACACATTGTATAACATTGTTATATAATATTATGATTTTATGTTTTTATTTTTTATTTTCTCAATAAAAAGATATTAATTTAAAGAACTACCTTGGACTAGTTTTATGTAGTTAGAATAAGAATAATAAAAGTTGTTAAAATGAAAATTAAAAAAATAATATACATATGGAAATAGAAATAATAATAAATTAAAGTTGGTGCGCATATAGTTGCATTTGTGCAACGGACTTAAAAGCTGTGCTTTTCAAGTTTGGATTTTAAGTTGGAATTTTTAAATTATTTTTAACAAACTCCCCATACTCAAATTAATCAAAAACATTTATTTTCAGCAAGAAAAAAAAATCATGCAATTAAGGGTTAAGTTTACATTGTTAACTAATGATATTCTAAGTATAAATACTAATATATTATCTCTATATACACAAACTAACTTTCCCATATTTAATATTTTTAGAGCTCCCTCTAAATCAAGCTCTTTAGGAAAACTATTATCTAACGGGATATCCCTTTTTATTTGTTGTAGTTGTATTAAAATGTCTTTAGGATGCTCGAATGTATTACAACATATTAAGCTGCCGTTATTATTTCACCTAATAATTCAATTTCAAATAGCACATAGCTTTGCATAAGTTCATACATAATCTGTTGAGACACCAGCTCCTCAGTTTCTAAATCTATAAATAATTAATTTATATTGTTGAGTTTGCTACTAAGTTTTTCGAAATTACTCTTTAATACATTTATATGTTTATTAAAATTACCTATTGTTATACTTAAAAGGACAACATTGGATTTTATTACACTGGTTTGATCTTTGAAAATTTGTAATACTCTCTCTCTATTCGCATTTAACTCAGATATTCGTATCTCTATTTGTTAACTTCGTCTTCAGTCATAACCCCGTATAGTTGCTCGTGGAAGCCTCCTATGAATCCTAACACTGCTCATTTATTTCTTTTGACCGGGGAAGTTCCCATAATCATATAATAATTATTTTTTCTCTCGTTTATGTTGTAATAAAGCTAATACGGTAATATTTACATTACTACACCTAGTTATGGTCATTTTGCTAGTTACATTTCCACAAATTTCTATGATTTTTCCAAAGTAGCTACTGAATGTTATCACTTTACTATTAATAGCAGATAAATTCATATACATTATTATGTCCCAGTTAGTGTTCGTTATCTTCAATACCCCTTCATTTTCGTAGTAGTACAAACAGGAAATACCAGGTACCTGGGATACATGTGGGTTGGTTCTACTGTAACTGCGCTCAATATGAGCTCAACCGATAAAAGAATCCTATAAGGACAAATAAAATAAATCATTAAAACTAATAGTAATTTTGTACCTGTGCACACATAATTTTTTTAAAAAAAAAATGATATCTTTCTGATTACTTTGTTACCCTTTTATTTTCATGATGTGAAAACGTTCGAAAATAATGTAGATAATTTTCTGCTAGCCGCCTAAGCGTCCACAACAAGGAACGCAGCGGCAGGCCATCAAACTCGGACGAAACAGTGCAGGAAGTTGAGGAGTTTGTGCTGGAAGATCGCAGGTTGACTTTCAATGAGTTGGCCGAAAAACTTCAAGAAGTGTGCGGTAGAGACTCTATTCATTAAATTTTGGTCTCATTGAGAGCCAACTTTCTATCTTCACTACAAGCCTATCTTACAGAAGGTAGATTCTAAGAGGTATAATGGAATACTTGTATACTTGTTTGTTTTTTTACATTAAATTAGATAAATATATTTATTACTAAGAAGAACACCATTGAACACTTATCAAATATTATAGCCTTTAACTATTAAACAAATTGTTTAATTTATAGAATACAAACTACTGATGTTTATAAAAATCAATTAAGTAACTAACATTATGTAATAATAATAATAATTATTATTTTAAAATAATTGTTAATCGAGAAAATAACTTTAATTGTTCACTAAAAATACTAATAGAAAATATAATTTTGCTGGAGGATTTATTTATGAATCATCTACATTTTTCTTATACAAGTAACTGACTTAAAACCAGTACCAACCAGTTATAATTTACTCAAATTGAAAATAAATTGATAAATATTAAATTAAAGTGAATTTTAGACTAACGTAATAGAAACATAAATGATCATTAACCAAAAAATTTAAAGAAAATTTATATTTCCTTGTCTTTTTCTATATCTACTAATTATCAAGATTCCCATATGGTAAAAATGATGTATACATACAAATAAATATATAAATTAAATACAATATATAGACAAATAAAATGTTTATTAGAATTGTTGAAACTCCATGGCTAAATGATATTGATACAATATTAAGAATAAATTATTACAAATATGAGAGAATTTTGAATATATTACATTAAATAGTTTGATCCATGGTGCTAATTTTTCTGTCAGTACAACACTGATCTGAAGTCTTTTATTAATAAATAAATCAATCTTCTTGATTTATATAAAAAAAAAAAAAAAAAAAAAGTATAAGACTATAATCTAAAATTAGCAATTAAGAGACATTTATATGAAGAGCACTTTAAATACAAAACAAACAATTATTGAAAAAGGCATTATGTAATTGTAATGCTAGATGTATTTTAAATAATTTATATACCTTCATGGTCTGGATAATCACAGAACATTTTCAATGAATTCAAAGTGCAAAGATGTGAGCAACAGGTATTGTTAGACTGTTCTATCAGTGAATGAAAATCTGAAAAATATTAATTAAAAATACCTAAAGAATATGAAAATGCAAAACATATGCGATCATTTTACAACAATATTCATATTAAACATTGTTTGTTGATACATATACAAAAAAATCAGAATAAACATTAATTTACCTTTAGATATTCCATTGAGCATTACAAAATGACATATAATTGACACAGCCCTTATCAATTTTTCTCCACAAATATAATATGGTCTGTTCCAATCCAAACCTATAATTAGGTATTTGATATTAATTATTTTTTAAAGTAAATAATTAATTTGATTTATATCATAAATATTATAATATATAATTATTTTTTAATGTTTTTATTCTTCGTCCTAAGTCGGTTGCATTAGAAATATCACATGGTTAATCACGCACAATCATAATGACAAGGTATTTTATGTAAAATCTGATTGAAATATATTTATTAACATTTATTTTATAAATTTGTGTAAAACACAATATTTATAGAAACATTTATATTTTACTCCAATAAATTAAGTGAATATACAATTAAAATATTACCTATACAATTTTTTTTTACACAATGGTTGTAAATTATGATGTAGTAGAACCCCTCTAATCTGTCAAATTTGGGACAAGAGTTATGGTCAGAACCCAAAAAAGGTCAGATTATCAGCATATACAGAAAAATTGTATTTACATATGTAATAGGTACTAAAAATTTGAATGTATGTATGTATATGAACATATATAAAAATTATAATTAATATTATATTCATATTTAATTTAATATAAAATATTAAATTTAAAATTATTAGATAGTAGTAATAAACAAATAAATAAATATATATAACAAATTATTTGTATTTAAAATTAAATAAAAGCTTAGCCTTCAGTATTATTACAAGTGTAAAGAACAACTGGTCTCAAATAAAAAATTCATTGTCAAGTATTTACAAAGTCAATAAAATCGTGACGTAAGAATTATCATACAAAAATAGTCACAAACGGTCTTTATGACATGCAATAAAGGCAAATAAAACATCACTAATAAATTAGATGATATTTTATATTTAAATTAAATATACGTAAAAAAGATACTATGAATTACAAAATAAAACTAAAATGTAAAAAATTTAAAAATCAAAATTAGTCTTTCAGTCAGCTATGGAACCAACAAAAGGTTAAATAAGCAGTATAAAAATATTTTAATCTATTGGTTAGAAGTTAATGTTATTTATAAATATTGTTTAATAAAAATCATTACCACCATCTTTTTCTGCTATACTATTATTTCCATTTGTTGGTATGATAGTCATGGTAAAAAGTAAAAACAAAAATATTGTTACTTTCCTGTAACAACAATGAACACATACAGTTTGTCGAAAGTTTGAAATATCAATTGTTTAGAAAATAAAATGTATAAGAGTAAACAATGAAAAACAATTGGTTAATATTCACTTACAAGTTTAATCTTGCCTTCATATTAGTTTCTGTTAACTAAAAAATAAGAAATTGTATTAATTCAGCAAAAATATTATAGTTGTATAAATATTTTTATAATTATATTTTAAACAATTATAAATAAATACATTCAGACTTGGGTAAAATACTTTTTAAAAGTATTTAGAATAAATACTCGAATACTTACAAAAAATAGTATTCCAAATATGTATTCAAATACTTTATACAAATTGTATTCCGAATACATTATTTAGAATACTTTTAAAATACTTCAATTTTTCATATTATAAAAATAATAGATGTCCAGTCAACAGAAATATTTGAAATTGTAGACTAAATATATGTTATTTTATTGTACTTTTATATTATATAACTGTTATAGTTTATGGTTTACAATAATAAATACCTGATATTAGCTTATACAAGATACGACAAATAAGTAATAAAATCATTTAGAAAAGAAACAATTTTACGGTATTCGAAACAGAATACTCGTTATAAGTATTCAAAATACTTTATTGAATACTTTCAAAATAAGTATTTAAAAAGTATTCGAAATACTTAAAAAGTATTCTGAATATTGTATTCGGAATACTACCCAAGTCTGCGTACATTATAAAAACAATATATTTAAATAAAAAACTTGATTACTCACTACAATTTTTAACGTAGACTGAACTGGACTGAAACAAATGAAAATCGGGGGAAAAAATGTTCAGTGTTTTCACAGAATTTGTGAGAAATGAAGAACGGTAAACAATTACAACTCAAACTCGTTATGAACACAATGATTATGGAAAAACAAAAACGTCGCGGCATTCGTGGACGATAAACGAAAATTACGCGTCACTTTTATTCAGTGTTGCCAGGTAAAACGAAACGAATAGCGCAACAAATTACTTATAATCGCGTTACGATAGCGCTCTTATCATTTTTTTTCGTTAATTTTCATTCATTCATTTTCGTTTTATCGACCGCGAATGCCGCGACGTTTTCGTTTTTCCGTAAACATTGTATTCATAACGTGTTTGAGTTGTAATTTCTAATATAACAGTTTTTGTATGAGCTCTGCATGGTTGCCTAGACTAGCTATACTAGAATCCTGACAGGATTACAAAAGATGCATCGAGACTGGGAGTGAATGACGGAAAAAAAATAGCTCAAAATAGAGATAGATGGAGGCAAGTGGTTGCTGCGGCAATGGACCTAAATGGCCCGTAAAAGCCAAGGAAGAAGGAATTGGAATCACAAAAAAACAAGACTGATAGAGACACGAGTTTTTGATAACACGTTATCATTATAATATATTTGCACATTTTTATTTTGCTCCTCTTCATAATTTTATGTCGTTTAACTAATAATAATAATTAAATAACTAATAACTATTAGTATACAATAAATATAATTATATAAATCACAATATGTTGTGGTTAAGAAATAAAATTTGTGAAATTTTTGATGTTGTGAGTCGAGATCTTCTTTCATTTACAACTTGGCCTGCTTTCGAAAATATCCTCTCATAAGGTACTGATGTTGCCATAATACACAGTCTCCTTTTAGTTAGTCTATACAATCATGGGTACACATTTTTGTGCTTAGCCCACCAAACCAAAGGATTTTCCGCACAGTTGATCAATGGTTCATTCAAATACTTGTCAACAGTTTCATCAAACTCCTTTCATTGAACTTGAATTACTAGTAGAGGTAGATGTAGAAACTTGTTGATGTATTGGTTCGTCTGATTCTAATATAATACTTTGAGCTTTAGTCTTTAAAAAACGAACTG